CCTACAGGCAGGTCACCATTGTAGTTTGCAGGGCTTGTAGTTGGGTTGATAGTTATCTTTCTCCTTTAGTATCATACATAGCTACAATACTATGGATGCTAGTCAGTAGGGATGAAGGATCTAGGTAGCTCTGCTTCTCTGTCTTCAATGAGTTAGGCAGGTGTTGTCTTCAGCAATATGGGCTTACCATCAGCTTGTGGGGAGCAACCAATACCCTTGGCAATAGCCTGGGTTGTTTGGGGGCTTCCATGGGGCCCAACTGGCTAACAACTCAATTAAATGTAACCCATTTCTGGCACTGGAGTTTTCATTTGGTGGTGAGAGATACCAAGTTAGGGCTTTCTCTCCCCCATTTGGTGATTCCATTTGAATTTCTTTTGCACGCACGTGCACGTGTGTGTGTGTGTGTGTGTGTGTGTGTGTGTGTGTGTGTGTGTGTGTAAAGAACCTTCTACTGTAGGTTTCCATATGACTCTTCAAATGTGCATTTTCAAATTAAGCACAGATGCAAGTGTGTTGGATATATAGCTATACCAATGAGAGAGTCTTCTCCCTCTCCACACAACTAATCAAGGTTACCACAACTTGACACAGTGATTTCCAGTTCTGAATGAAGAAGAGATTCCTGTGAAGCTTTCATATCCTGAAATGTGGGGGTTCTCCTTTGCTCCTTCTGGAATTATGAAAATGGTTCATGGATTACCTTCTGGGTTTGAAAACCTATGTTGAGAATCAGAGGACTTGCATCAAGTGTAAGCTTGCTCCACAGCTTGTGAAAATGTATAGATCTCCCATGCAGACCTCCCCTGACTTTCTTTTCCTTTCTACTCTGTTCTTGTCTCTTCTTTCTTTTATGGGCAGATTCCTAAGGTGGCCTTCACCCATGCTCAGGGTGAAGTGATCCAGATCAAATGTTCACCCCCTACTTTCTGGCAACCCTACTTACTCAGAAAGCAAGGCAAACATTTTTTCCCCTTTCTTTTCTTTTTTTTTAATGACTTCAAGTACACAGTTTAGTCATTGTTAGTATATTAACAAGGAGTCAACTACCTCAATTTTAAAACATCTTCAACATTCCGAAGAGAAACTCTAAGACTTTATCAGTCACTTCTCATCTCTCACTCCTAGGTGACCACTGATCAATTGTCTCTACAAATCTGCCTATGTGGCTATCAATGTAATGGTATCATACCATATGTGGTCTTTTATGACTTCAGGCATTCATTCAGTTCATGTTTTCAAGGTTAATCTATGTGGTAGTGTGTATTCATTTCCTTTGATTACCAAGTAATATTCTGGCATATGGATATACTATAATTTGTTTACCTGTTCATTGGTTGATGGACATTTGAGTTGTTTCCATATCTTTTCATTTCTCTTGGAAACATCTAGGTATGGAATTGCTGGGTCATTATTGAACTCTTTGACATTTTCAAACTGCCAGGCTATTTTCTGAGGTGAATGCACATTAATTTACATTCCCATCAGCAATGTATGAGGACTAATGAATACATTTTTGCCTCTGAAGTCCTTTCCTTCACTCTGTCCTTGACACTAATGGGGCCTAGCACCTTGCTAACTCCCCTTGACATCCTTCTATGAGAGAGCTGGCCAGAGCAATTTCTGACCTTTCTCTACTTCTTATCTCTCTCTCAAAGGCCTTGTTATTCATCAGTCAGTGGCATTCCAATTTCCTTTGATATACATTCTTCTTCAGGAATTGAAGTCTTTCCAATGTAGTCCCTAGCACATGAGTCAGATTGTAGGTCTTTCCAACTCAGTTCCTAGCACATGAGTCAGTTATGTGGTCTACTGCCCTTAATTGTCCTATGAGTGAGTTACCACAAGGTCCAGACTTAGGAGGAATTATTAGGAAGCTTAACAGTAGTAGTACATCAAATACCCTTCTCTCCAGACCTGTAAGCATACAACTATAAGGTGACTAGTGGGACAGGGTGGTAGTGACAAAGTCCTAGTCTCTCTGTAGCCTGTGACAACACTGTGACAACTGGTATCTCTGCTTCATGTCTCACCTGCTTTGGCTGGCAAGAATTCTGGACTGAACACAGAACATGGACAGAGAATGGATAGCTTCAATCCCAGTCCACCTAGTAGCAACATGAATTACTGGCTGAGATGCAACTTCCAACAGTTGCTGTGTGGGTTAAAAATGAGAATGCTATCTACAAGCCTCACTTAGTAGACACTGGATAGGTGTTATTTATCTTTCTAGATCTTGTCTCTTCTAAAAGAGACCACCACGAATGCTAGAGGAATATTTAACAAGTAATCTCAAAGTATCTCAGGCTTTTCATTGAGTGAGGATTAAAACTCCATCATCTGATATTTAGCATGCCCTTATTTGGGCCACCATCTGACTCACACCTGAATGCTGGGATTACAGGTGTATGCACCACCACACCTGGTTCTTCACAACAGATCTGTATCACAGTCTTCCTGGTTTCACAGCTCATGATGTAACCACTTTCCTAGAGAGGGCAATGGTACCTAATGTGTAAAGTGAGTGTCACTCAAGTGCCCAAGGACATTGATGAAGATCCGAGGACCAGTGTTAGGATTTGGCAACTCAGTTGTAGCTGTAGCTGTGCGCCCTTGTCAAGGTAAGTGATAGATCATTCCTACTGGTCTCCACGTACCAACAACTGGTTTCCTCCCACTAGAACTCCTTACTTCATTTTGGCCACTGTCCTTTACTAGAGATATGATAGCTTCTATTATTTAGAGAAGCCATTCATATCTGGAAATGCATGTTTGGTTTTTTCCCCCGTAGGGATATCATTTTAGATAGTTTTACATAGCCTCTCCATTGTCTCCACTTCTGCAGGTGAGAAGTCTGTCCAGTAGCAACAGTCCTTGAGGACTATCAACTGACAAAGTTCCCCAGGAGGAAATGCCTGGCTCACTCCTGAGAGATGGAAGTGGAATGCTCAATTACAGCTGAAATTCTTAAAAATGCTTTTCTTGGAAAAGCAGATGAGAGCAGATACTGTGCTGTAGAGGGGATGTGAACTTGGTAGCCAGATCTGCCACTGACAGGATGTGAGATCTCAGACAAATTACTTAGAAGCAAACAATACTTTCTTCTATAAAACAAAAATGGTGGATTAAACAGGATCTTAGGTCCATCCTGGCTACAGAGTGCTCAGACTGGAATATAAAGGACTTACAGTAGTGCAGACAGGAGAGGCTGTGGACAATTTCTGGATTACATGTTTGGTTTGCATATGTCTACTTCAAAATTCAGGTTTTGCTAATGTGACAATGTTAAAAAGTGGGCTGTTGGGATAATAGACAACCTGGGCTACTTCTTTAATGGTCATAAGGCCCTTATAAAAGGAGGCTTGCCTCAACATTAGGGTAATCTGCTAGTTAAGTCTTGAGCCATACAAGGATAAAGACACCTGCCCTCTGAATGATGCAGTATAGCTAGACAACTCAACCTTGTCAGTACCTGCATCCTAGACCTAGCCTCCAGAAATACAAGAAACAAATACACGGTCTTTATAAATGACCAATGCAGCAGCATCGATGGATTAGGAGAAGGAGCTTATCCAGCTCTTAGCGTGTTTGTGGTAAGGATGACAGGGAGGGACAATATCTACAAAGTTCAAGCCCAAGAGGTGAGAAGGCCTCCCTTCCAAGTAGAGCAGAAATGTCAAGAAGCCACACAATGGGTCACGAATCTATGAAACTGGTTTTCTAGCTGTCTGCTTATCTGTTCTCTCAGGATAAGAACTGTTTTACACATGCTCAGCTTTCTCCCCATACTCAAAGGTATCTTTGACAATTTGAGCAAACTGCTTACTTATTTCATTTTCAATGTAAGAGAGGGCTGATTGATGATTTTGCTCTCTCTACCTGAGCCTCTGAGAGGCAGCTGCTCAGAGGGGGTGTTCTTGTTCAGGTAGGGGTAACAGGCTGGTCTGAAGGAAGGGAGCAAGTCAGGGTCTTTGGCTGTTTGGGGGGAACACAAGGGTGTGATCTTGGAACTATGCATCTATGCAAACCCTTGCTTGGATTCTTCAAGGACCTACAACCCACCAGGCAGGACCACAACTCCTATCTCTAAGTGATGGGACATATCTTTCTTGCTCAGGTGCTATGGGGATGCTCAGGGAATGGACTCAGAAGTGTGCTTAGACTGAACTGTCCATTCTAGCAACTACAGAACCTATTGAGGGCTGATGTCCTGGTGATGGGAAAGAGATGGGGCTTCACTGGGAACAGCAACTGGGATGTGGCACACTATTTCTATTTTTTTCAAATGACCATGCACTCCTATTGTCCCAACAAGTAACAAGGAGAGAATAGTACTTTGATAATTTGGAGATCTGGTCTTGCTCTAAAACTACACTCCACTGATCGGATGATGTGCAAGAGGACATGTCATTATTAAAACCACATGAGGAAAACAACAACCGTATAGACTATTTACCACCTTACCACAAACAGTTGTCACCATTAAAATGAATATACCTTTAGCTCACTGTAGCAACTTCTGTCAGCAAATCTCTAAGATAATGCTGGTGTTGAAGCAGGACCAGTGAAAGGTGACTTTATGGGAGGGAGTCAGGCCTTCTTCACGACACGTGAAACGCTCCAGGTAAGTCCCCATGTGGGCCAGGTTTGGAGTGACACAAGTGTGCCTCTTGGAAGGGGGATGGCTACAAAAGCACTCCTTGATTAATCTTGACTTTTAAAATAGCCCTTGGGCCTCACTTAGGGAGCCCAGTGGACAAACACTGATTAGTTTTCTCTCACAGGGTGACAGTTTGCAAGGAGGGCAATACCTTAGCTGTGGCGTCCACAGTGTGTGTGCAGTATTGCTTTGAGGAAACATCTACAGGCTGGCCAAGCAAGTCCCAACCAGCCACTGAAGGAAGCATTATCAGGAGAAGTCACATGGCTCCTATTTTCTTCCCATTCTTCTGTGGGATAGGCTACAATTAGCTCAAACCCAAATACTCTGCAACAACACATATATCTCAAAGTAAATTTAATACAGATTACAATGTTAACATATATTATTTAGTTAATAACAAAGCCACTAGGTTATATACATATTCCCTTCCTACCACCCTCATACCAACACCCCCCCAACACCCCCAAAAATGCCTTCAGAACAGAGAAGGCAACTGGCAGGGAGTGTGCAGAATGAAAAGTGTGTTCATTGATGCTCCCTGAAAACTCATTTTTTTTTCCCTCTTACAAACTTCCCATGTTGGTAAGGCACAGAAGCAATTAAATTCCATTCACTGGCACGGCACCCAAAAAAAGCCTTGAATTTTTAGGCTGTTTATAACTCTTCTCAGGGTAAATAAGCTTCTTAAAGAGATCAGATTCCATTTCTTATCCTTCTGGAGATTGGAGTAGCAAGAACACTGATGCTCAGAACAAGTGACTATGGTTATAGAAAGTCTAAGGAACTAGGTATAGTTAAGTTGCCTGTGACACACAGGACAGAGAGAAGATGGTCCTGGAAATCTAACTCATTTCTGCTACTACAAAGACATATCCTAAAAATGTTTTGAAACAGAACAAGTTTGTTCTAGTTCCTCTCAGGGTGAATTTGAAAAGGAAATTGGAATCTGTAATGAGCTTTCAACTTCCAAAGGGAATGACGACACGTAACTAGTCTTGCCCTTGTATTTGCCTCAGATGAAGAGTACGGAATTGAGAGTCTCGAAGGGAAGGGGGACTGGGTAGAATCAACAGGACTGAGCTCAGTCTGGAGAGAAAAGATTTAGATTTAGGCCAATAAGGATGCTCAGCAAGCTTTCCTAGACTCTGCGCCCAGGGGCACTTAAACTAGGAGCACTCATCCTCAGCCACTGGATACCACTCTTTCTCTAGTGCCATCTTCCCTAGACACAACAGCGGAGGAAGTTCACAAGAATACCTGGAATTGGAGTCCACAAGAAACATCTGTCACGGGACACTGGAGGGGTGGTTGCCTGGACCTGGTAGATTTCCCCAGGCTGCCATCTCATGTGTGGTTTAATGGCACAGTCTGGCTGGGAACTTCCCTCTAACCCATTGAGCTTTTTGGTGTAAGGAGTGGCAATGACCATGTTGATGATCACTATGACTCACATGTATTTGGTCCCAAGTAGTGGTGATATCAGGGTCACTAACTCCAATTTCAGAATGAACAGTCACACTGAGAGTTAGCGAGGAGGGAAAGGGTGAAGAAGGAAGACCTCTTCTGAAGTAGACACGTTCCTTATGTAAGGAAAGCCAACTTTTTGCAGCAGTAAGTTGAAACCATCCTCAAAATGACACTAGATATCCATGGTGTCTGATATGCAGAAAGTATTCTAAATTTCTAATCTGTTTGGCACAGAAAAGATCCTATGCCTAAGCCCACCTCCTTTAGCCTGTTTTCTGATTGGTCTGACAAAAAAACACCCTGATTTGTTAGAATGATTTCTGTATTCAATACTTAAGAGGATGCCAGTAAGATAGGTCCCTGTGAAAGGAGAGACTCAGCTGCTTGGCAGTCAAGTCATTTAACATCCTACATCAGTATGTAAAGGAACTCAAACATTTCCTATGAAATTATGTAGCATGTGCTTCAGAGTCATATGAAAAATATGTCTTCCAGAATCTGACTCTCCTCCAGGTCTTCAGGGCTCCTGCGTGTCCCCACTTTCTTCCAGGTAGATTTCTGAGGGCTAGGTCGGAAAGTGTTCCACACTCCTGCTGCTCTGGAGGGATTGGGCTGAGATTTGGGAGCAGAATTTGGGCTCAGAGACTGAACCAAATCCAACAGAGATGTCTCATACCTGTAAGACAATCCAGACAAAACAGGATCAGACCATTAGAATACGAGGAACCAAAAGCCCTGCAGAGGTGCCCAGGGCAAGAGTTTGCCACAAATCTCACCATGGGGAAACTTTAGGGGAAAATGCCCCAGGGTGGTCCTGAGAACGAGGCCCCTGCTACTGTCTGCAAGCTTTATTCTTCTGCTGACCCCAGCAGTCCTTTCTAACTTAGGGAGAGAGTCTGTGGAACAGGAAGAGTAGTCCTGATAATAGTGATGATATCACCTATGCCAGAGTAGGCTGAGGCAGACGGGGGCTCCAGCACCTGCAGGATGCGAGCTTCTCTGCTGCAGGAGAGAAGCCGAGGAAATCGACATATGTTCCTTACAGCTTGGAAGTGATACAGTACTTCATGTTTGGGATGGATTAGACCTCCAAGAAGAGGAGCACTCAGAATGCTTACTGAGCAATGGGTCTTTGACATATTTGGACTAATTTTCTTATTTTGTGGGTGAGGATACTGAGGTCCAGAAAGATGAGTCAAGTGGTTTGAACCAAGGCCCCCTTGACTTCCAAGAGTAGTGTCCTCAGTTTTTCTACAAAGACCAACAAATACAACAGTGGTGACATGTGCCTTTATTCCTAGCACTGGGGGGCAGAGGCAAGTGAGTTTGAGGCCAGGTCTACAATGAGTCCCACGCCAGCCAGGCCTACATAGTGAGATCACATTAAAAATGAATAATCAAGCAAAGACAGCAAAAGAAAGATTGTTGTCTAACTGTATATTAGTTTGCTGTAAGTGGCTATAACTAGTAATTAGCTATCTTTTTCTCCAACAAATTAATCTAATCTAATGTACCATCTTTATGGATCTGCTGTTGTTATAGAAATTCTGTTTCTCTGAAAGAAACATGAAATCATGGATTACATCATGGGAGACGAATCAAAGTTTATGGCAGCCAGGGAACAGATTGCTCCTCATAGCTAATTTCAATTGTACTTTTGCTATTATAAAGTCCAAATAACTTGGCAAGTCAAAAGACAGCAAATGGCAAAGATTAAAGAGCAAACCTTGAGAACTACCCACTTTAACCAAGAACTATATATGCCATAAAGCGAAGTACAAATGAATTCCTATATTATGTCACATAAGTATCAGAAAAGAACAGTGTCTTCATCAGCTCACATTATGTGGGCGGTGGTTCAGTTCAGTGTACTGAAATAACATGATAGAGATTACAAAGTTAGCTTGGTCTATTATTGTTTGGTATCTGAATAATAATAGGACACATCACTTACCCAGATTCACAAAACACCATCCCTTGAAACGTGGTCTGTGTGTGTTTTAGGCACAGACATGAGTTCCATTGCTTCTGAACCTCACAGAGCCACTACTCCCTTAAAGCTGACTTTAAGAACTTCATTGTGGTAGAGTGATGAGCAGAAAGCTTACTTAGTCTGCTCTGCCACAGTTCCTGTGATGGTGTGGCACCAACTCTATTCCTCTAGAGCTAGAGCTAGATCCTATTCTCCATTTGTTTGCTCCCGAACTAGTAAGATGCAGGTACAAAACTCGAGAGGACACAGTCTGTGCCGATTTGATTTGGCTCCATACTGCCAAATTTAGAGCCAGTCTGACAGGGCATGCTGGAATAACCTAAAGACAAATTATTTCTGGGCTCATTCCATAGGTTGTCCTGGATGAGAAGAGTCTCTCCATAGGCTACTTCCGTGAGAAGTATCCCTCCTTAGCCTTCTCTGAATGAGAGGTCCCTCCCCCCATGCTGCCCCAATGAGAAGCTCCTCTTCATTGGTCGCCCATGATGAGCAACACTATTCCATAGGATGCTCCTGATGAAAAGCATCTCTCCATTCGCTGCGAACCTCTCCATAGGCTGCTACAGATGAGATACTTACGATGACAGATTTCCTTCCCCTTCCAATGTCCTATGATTTCTTTAGGCCTTCCTGACTTTCATTTATATCACCAACCCTGCTCTTCTCCTGCCAGGGTTCAGTCCTTATCTCCCATCTCTCAGGTGATTTTACCCACTCTCATGACCTTTGCGAGGATCTATATATGAATGACTACTAAACACAGCTATCAACACTGGCCTTGAAGTCCCAGAATCACACAGTCAACTGATACCTGATACTTTTACTCAGATGTGCAATAGGAATTTCAAAATATCCAAAACAGAACTTGGCATTTTTCTGTCATCCTACTCCTTTCTATTAATCTAGCACAGGTTAAAAAATCTGCTCTCCTACCTGTGCCAGAGAGATGGCTCAGCTGTTAAGAGTATATTGCTCTTACAGAGGACATGAGTTCAGTTCCAACACCCATGTGAAGCAGTTCATGACCACCTGTGACTGCAGCTCCAGGGGAATCCAATGCTCCTGGGCTCTTCAGGCACCGGCACTTATATGCACATATCCACATGCATACACACATATGCATAATTAAAAAATAGTAGAAATAAATCTTTAAAAACCCTATTATCCTTGGTCCCTACATGATTCTGCATGTGTTATATTCTCTACTTAGAAAGTTCTTCCAGATCTTTCTCACTCTCTCCAAAACCATGAATGGTTTTGTTAAATATCACCTCCTCAAAGCTGGTCTTCCAAAACAACTATCATTTCATAGACATTTTGTTTTATGATATTTTACTTTCCTTCAATTACTCAATAAAATATAACTTAGATAAGTTATGCTATAATTATCCTTATATGCATACACACATATATTTTTATTGTTTGTCTCCTTCAATAATATGTGATTCATACAAGTTTTGCTGTCATTGGAAAAGATCACCACAGACCAGTTTACATGTACATACATACTGCTTTGCCTTAGAGTTTTTGGTTGAATTTATTAAGAAATAGTATCAGACCTGTAGCAAAAAATAATCTCAAAACTTCAATGTTCTATAATAGTTATCAAAGGAGACTTTTATCCTTCAGGAAAAATTCACTGTCAGTTCTTAATTTACATAAATTACCCCAAAAAAACTTATATATGCAGCATATAAGATGGCTGACGTGCTGCCAGTAGAGACTGGAGAAAAGGGGACCCGAGATTGTGGACCATCAGCCCTCGGTTTGTTCCCCTCTGGATCTTCTGCTTAGCATTCCTCTAGAGGGCCAAGGCAGAAACGCCTACGTGTCCCAAGGTCATGCTTTATGGTATGCACAAGTCATGCCCTCCTCCATATAAATACTTCTTATAATACTTGTCTTTTTTCTTCTATCTGATCTTCATGTTCTGTGTTCCTAGATCAATGGTGATTTCTGGGATACAGGAAAGGAGTGAAGTAAATTTCACAGGAAATTATACAGAAATGATCAGCCAGGCTGGGGTTGAGGCAGTTATGTAGTTCATGGAAAAGAACCTGCAGCCTGGAGAAGCTTTTTAGGCTTGGATAAACTGAACCGAATGTGTGGTCAACTATAGCACATGGTATGATGTGTATCAACATACTGGACTTAAATTGGTCATGATGAATAATTCAGTTTCTGAGGATATTCCAAGGACATTGTGCAAAACTTGAGACCCTAAGGGGTATTGACTGAAGTCTGTGGATGGAGTAACATATAGATGGGATGACAGACTAAAGGTGTGGGAACCTAGAACAGGAGAAAAAATAGTGGCCTCCACCAAGAAAGGGAGATGGCAACTTTAATTCAGATACTTTTTATTCCTCCTGAAGGAGTGTGGAGATAATGTGACAATTGATGGAGTGATTGCTACAAGCTTTATTGGGTTCCTAGATTGAAAAGAGCTGCCAAGAAAGGTGAGCTTCCTTTCATAGAAGCTCTATAAATTAGATTAGGTCTTCCTTGGAATTGTAGGATATAGAAGGACAGAAGTTGCTGACTTGCAGGGACAGATTTCTTGTCTGAGGTCATTGTAGCCCATCAGTCATGGGGCTTAGTGATGCAGAGGGCTGAGGAGGAACTTAGGCGGCTACAGGGGTCTTGAGGTTGGAGCAGACTCTGTGAGAAGGAAATGACTGTCTGGTACATTGACCACTGTTCTTATTTTTACCTTTTTTTTTTTTTTTTTTTTTTACGAAATTGCATGTTGCTAGCCTTTGGGCCAAGTGCTCAAAAGATTGTATAATCATTAATAATAAAAATAGATTATGCTTGCTTTGGTGTTAAGTCTGGGATAGTCCTGTGTTTAGTAAAAGATGATGAAGAATATATTGGAGATTTTCTAAGAATAACCTTTAGAATCATGAGAATATTTCATATTGGGTGATTTCCCCTTTTTTTCTGTTCCCCCTTTCTTATGATAATAAAAGACTGAGGTCACCAGGGCAAAAGCAGAAGCTAAAGTTAGAGAAGTCAGAGACGCTAAGAGAAACTAAGAGAAGCTAAGAGAAGCCAGGGAAGCAAAAGAAACTTAGCAACTGCAGAAGCCCGAAGTGACCTGTCAGCTTGCACGAACATTGTCTCTGAGTCGTTATTGCGCCTTCCAGGTATCCCATCCTTCAGACCCCCGAAACTGCTGAGGCTGGTCCCTGGCACTTGAGCACTGCAAAGCTTCTGAACTGTTGTCACAGTCAGGGTACTTACCCTTTACTTCTGAGAAAAAACCATGCGACTGATGGCATCAAGTTCTGGGACAACAAGTGAATTTTCCACCAGCGCTATTGATTCAATAGCACACAGCAAATTCAAATGCCTTCCCTTAAAGCGAACAACACAATGAACAACCAGGAACTGAATGCCTTACATTTCACAAGAATGTAATCTAAGCAAGGCCTTCTCTTCTTCAAACACTAACTATCAGTTGGAGTTCATCAGACTCACCTATAGGCTGTACTGAATTAATGCTGTCTCAACTGTTCTGGAAATACTCTTGTCTCTGTTCCACACAAGCCATCCACAGAGGAGAAGTATTTAGTCAATGTCACTGTCGCCAGTGGAATACTCTAACATTGGTCATGCCAACAAGACTAAAAGAAAACATCACAAATAGTTTGCCTCTTTGACCATCTGTCCCTTTCTTA